CCCTCTTGGAGGCCCGACGTCCTCGTCGGCACACTTCCGGCTGGGTCAGGCTCTGATACCATTTGTAACGACCCACTTCATCACATGGTATGATATTGTCTGCTTTGGGCCTGAGCCTGCACGGTTTTGCTTTTGGGCTTTACCCCAAAAGGCCTCATCGCCTGGGTAGAGGAAAGGTGAAGTGCTTATATGTAAGTGTGTCACCTCCAATTGGTATGAGGCCTCTTGGGGTAAAGCCCAAGAGCAAAACCGTGCGGGCTTAGGTCCAAAGCGAACAATATCATACCATGTGATGAAATGGGTCGTTACAAATGGTATCAGAGCCTGACTCAGCCGGAAGTGTGCCGACGAGGACGTCAGGCCTCTAAGGGGGGTGGATTATGATGACCTTGTGGGCGGGTGTGCCGTGGGCGGGTGCGAGAGACACTGTCAGGCTACTACACTGGCGAGCTACGGGTGTACAGTCCCACATCGCCTGGGTAGAGGAAAGATGAAGTGCTTATATGTAAGTGTGTCATCTCCAATTGGTATAAGGCCTTTTGGGGTAAAGCCCAAGAGCAAAACCGTGCGGTCTCAGGCCCAAAGCGGACAATATCATACCATGTGGTGGAGTGGGTCGTTACATCCAATCAGTTGCGTAGATTTCGATTGGGGAGATTTGGTTTATCTTCTTTAACTGACTCTCCTACTTTTCGTAAACTGAATCATAACATCCTCCTCCTTAGTGTATGTTGTTGTTATCCTCTTTTCTATGAAAAAGAGTAAAAAAGAACTCATTGGTTAAGATGTTGGTCAAAATTTGGGTTACTTTTTTCCCATCAGTTGCCCTTATTTCCTTGTTCGAAACAGATTAAGAAATATTAAAGTGTCAGACTAGGAAACATCAAAGTGTTTTTTTTTTTTTTTTTTTTTTTTTTTTTTTTTGGGATACTATTCCTGACGTGAATAGTACCTCGAGTACTATTCCCATGATTTTTTTTTTTACCTCGGTTACTATTCCCAATGTTGACAAACGTTATGAAAGGCCGTGAGTTCAAATCCCACCTTGCACAACTTTTCGTTGAGAAATGACAAATTTCTTTGGAGTATATATATATTAACCTCGAATACTATTCCCGATGTGCCAAAAGTTGTGGCATGAAAGGGCGTGAGTTCGAATTCCACCCTGATTTTTGTCGGAGGTAACGTGATTGCTTGATTCTCTTTGGAATTTGAGGTGAACAGTTTCACCTCAGTTACATTTCCTGAGGTGAATACTAGGTCAATTTTTTTTTTTTTTTTTTTTTTTTTTTTTTTTTTTTTTACCTCAGTGTACTGATTCCCGATGTGAAAATACGTGACTTTTTTTATTACCTAAGGTTACTATTCCCGAGGTATCCAAAAGTTTTTACGTGAAAGGGGTGTGAATTTAAATCCCACCACCACGTGATTGCCTGATTCTCTTTGGAATCCATTTTTTTTTTTTTTTGTATGGGTTACAAATTCCTGAAGGCGACATACAAATACAACCACATGATCACTTTATTCTCTTTGGAAATAATACGTATATGGTTATCAGTTCTACCTCAGGTACTATTCTTGAGGTGAACAATAATTTTTTTTTTATTTTTTTTACCTCGAGGTAATGTTCCCTAGGTGAAGAGTTCTACCTCGACTTTACCTTGGGGTAATGTTCCTGAGGTGAATAGTTCTGCCTCAGCTATTATTCCCAAGGTGAACAACCATTTAAAGGTATGGGTTCAAATCCCACACTCAACAACACCAATGGACGGTGATAGTTGGATTCCTTTGGGAATCAACACACTATATATATTTATATGTGTTTTACGAGCTTTACTCAAGACATCCCTTTAATAAGGGAATAAGTTTTACAAGTTTCACTCAATTCGCCCCTTTGATAAGGGAAGTAATAATTTCGAGCTTCACCCAGCCTGCCGTTTTAATAACGGGTTTAATTTTTTAGAGCTTTACTCAGCTCACCCTTTTAATAAAGGGATAGTTTTTACGAGTTTCACTCCGCTCATCCCTTTAATAAAGGGACGTTTGACCCGAGCTTTCTAAGCTTTCCTTTTAATAAGGGAATATGCTATATATATATATATATATATTTTATAGCTCAATGAGCTTGCCCTTTAATAAGGGAGTAAAATTTTTGAGTTTCGTGAGCTTATCCTTTATGCTCGCCCTGCATTGTAGGTATAGTGGCAGAGACCCGCTAAACTTGATGTACACGAGACTAGGCTTGGTTTCTGGTAGAAGAGACCATCCTTGGTGCTCAATAGTTAAAAAGCTCATTGGGCATGGGACCACCTTGGACGTGGTGAACTCATTGATTGTAGAAACTTTATTGGACTTAAAGTCCTCCTAGTGTGTAGAGACCTACCAGGCTATGGTCTTGGATGATCGGGCATTGGTCTTGGACAACCAATGCCTGAGGGGTCAGGTACTGGCTGGGGGAGAGAGACCAGGAACTAGGCTGGCTTGATGTAGTGAAGTGCGTCAGTCTTCTAAACCTTGTCATCATATGTAGATCGACGATTGATATCATGTGATTCACTGCTCTGTCCTCAGTATGATGAATGTGGGGTGTTGGGTGAGGACTATAGACGTTTAATGACAGTGGACCGGGTGTCCTGGTGCTACAACAATTTACAATTATCTAAGATATTGGATTGTGTTCAGAATGATTACTGAAAATTTGCAATGGATTATAAATCCAAAATTTTGTAAGTGGAACCAGTTAAAGACTTACTATCCTTTTGGTTTGAAACCAAGGACCTCTTGAGCTGGTTCAGCCACTTTGGAACCTGTTCAAGGCACAAGAAAAATTTCTTTTCTTTTCCAGAATTTTCGAAAACTCTCAGTGATTAAAATAAACACAAAAAATCTAAAAACTAAAAAAATCAAAAATCTTTTTGAATTTTTCAAAATTTTCAAATTTTTTTATTTATTTTAAGAGCAACAAATTACTGATCATTTAATTCTTCGAGTCAACACATGATTCAAAACTTTTCAGGGAATTTTAAAGAGTATCTAAGTGCACAAATTTTTGACTCCACAGATTTTTCAAATAATTTTAACTCTCAGAAAGTAATCACAATATGAAATCCACTTTGCAAATTTTGTTGAAAAATTTAGAAATTAATCTAGTAAGTTCATGTGTGTGTGTGAAATCCAATCTCATCAATTTTCAATTGAATTTCAACAAATTATTGTCTAAACCATATGGATCAAAAAACATCAAGATAAAATTATTTTTGAGCAATTTTTCTAAGTAAGGTGGCTTTCACTCTAAAGAACAGACAATAATACCCCAATTTAACTTATCTCCACCTTTCTTTTTACTCAATTGCTCATCTTCAAAGTCTAATGGGAGCTTTCGATCAATTCTCAATAGATAGCCTTTTCCTTAACAATGAATTCAACAATTTTTTAATTTTCTTTTCTTTTTATGTTGAATATTTTCATTTTTTTTAAGCTCCTATTTTTTTTTCTTCAAATAATAACCTTTATAGTATTTGTGATCAATAAATCCTAGTCAACAATTCAAAGATTTTCAATCAAAATTTTCAAAGATGGACTAGTGCACAAAAACTATGAACTCAAGAGATTCAAATCTAAAAATCTCCCAATCAATGCAAATTTTCTTTCATTGTATAGATTAGAAGCCAATAATCTATTTTATCAAATCATCATGTGTCTCAATTTGCGTTCAAAGATAGATTATAAATTCATTGAAAGAATTTTCACACATGTATCATGATGAATATGATCAAAACTCAACACATAAACCAAACCCTAACAAGTGATCCAATGGTAACAAAATTTGAATGTAAGCATAAACCATGATCACTAAATATCCTAGGACTTAGTTTGAAGGTGAAGTCCTTTTGGAAACTAGTTCCACGAACTTAACAGGCATATAATTGATCAAATCAACTTTTTTGATACACATAGTTTTCACTCTCACTTCCTGAAATTCTTTTTCACATTTTACCTCTTTCTTAGGCAAATTTTCAGTTTTAGAATTCTTAAGTGACACAAAATTCTTTTTATTCTTAGAACACACATTTTTCTTTGCATGAACATCATGAGAATGGATTTTAGAAAAATCTTTCTTTTTCCTATGAAAACATGAGTGATATTTATGTCCATTCTTACCACAAAAAGTGCAATGCAACAGTATAAGCACATAAGACATATCATAATGCAATGCATCAGGCAAACATAGATCAGGCATAGAATTATCAGCAGGTTTAACAAAAATTGTTTTACCTTGACTACTAGATGAGCCTTTAACAAAACATAACCCAGTTTTATCATTTACATTCTTACCCATGTTGATCATCTTGTTTAAATTTACTTGACCCATAGTGAAACCTTTCAGTTTATCTTGTGCAGCTTGCAATTCAAGTTCAAGATAATCAATTTTTAGACCAAGATATTCTTTCAAGGAGTTAGCACTACTTACCTTATCTTCAAGAATGATGATCTTCTTGGTAAGCTCATTACAACATATTAGTCTTTTACCAGTGCTCTTGGGAAGAGCGCTGGTATAGGTGATACAGTACCAACGCTTCTACTGAAGCACTGGTGTAGGTGTTACAATACCAGCGCTTTAAGGAAAAGCGCTGGTATTGGTGTTACATTACCAGCACTTCAATAGAAGCGTTGGTGTAGGTGTTATAGTACCAGCGCTTTAACGAAAAGCGCTGGTATTGGTGTTACAGTACCAGCGCTTCTTCTATTGAAGTGCTGGTGTTGGTGAGTACTAGCGCTTTAAGGGAAAGCGCTGGTATTGGTGTTGCTGGTATTGGTGTTACAGTACCCGCACTTTAAGAAAAAGCGCTGGTATTAGTATTACAGTATCGGCCCTTTAAGGGAAAGCGCTGGTATAGCACCCTTCCATTCCCTCCAATTTTTTCTCCTTCCCTCCACTCTTTTCCCTCCGCTTATTTATGCATGTAGAATATTACATGTCTAAACTGCGTCGTTTTCTTTTGTTCCATTAAAACACTATATTCCACTTTTCCATTTCAATTTGATTTAGCCCTAATTTATCCATCTCCCCTTTTGGTTCGTCCCTCAGCCTTCTCTTCCTCTCTGCTATCTCGATCTGCTCCGTCTTGATCTCTCACGCTCGATCTCCATTACTTTAGCTCATCGTAGGCTCTCTCTCTCTCATCCCTCTCTCTCCACCACCATTTCTCAGCTGAAGCAATTCTTCCACCTGCGTTTCAGAGGCCGTTTTTCCATCTGAAAAACCTCCATCTAAACGATCTCAATCTCCGATTCCCTATGAGGTAACTCTCTTCGTCCTGCCCGTCCCGTCCCTTCTGTTTCATAGAGTTATCCGGCGATAAACAAGATGGATCCCCTAGTTCAGTCACTAAGTCAATAGTGTATCCGGTGAACATCACATTCCCCCTTCCCTAACTGGTGTAGCAAGTGAACCCCCAATTAACGGAAGTACCTCAATTTCAAATTCTCTCTCTTCCCCTCACGGATCCTACTCATCCTCTCTCTCTTGTTGGTAAGTACCCCCTTTCTCTTGAAGCTTTCTCTTTGTCGATATTATATATATATATAGGGAAATCTCCATAACTAAAATAATCTTTAGGTTTTTCTAATTTTTGGTTTATGATTCTTATTATGGTTCTGATTGAAATATTTTTTTCAGTCTATTATATCCATTGACTTCAAAGCCTCGATTGCGATCGTTTCACATTTCAGGTAGGTCTATCTATTTTCGTAGCTTTTACAAATTGGGCTTCCAGATTTTAGTTGTTTTGTGTTGCCGGGAAAATTATTGTTTTTAGTTTCGTCAATAAATTTATCAATCAAAATCCAGGTCGAGGTTGGAGGATTTGGATCTTTGATTTCAACCGCTGAATTCAGAAAAGTTTCAAAATTTATTCATATCTATTTGTAATTCGCCTCCATATATATATACATGCAAATTTGTTTTAGGGTTTATTAATTTTATATTCTGTGTATAAAATTTTTTCCCCTCTTCAGACATGCGTTGATGAATATATGCTGAAGTTTCGTGCTTTTCTGGGTTATACTTATTCATTATATTTGGAATGTATTTCTTTCATGATTAGAATTAGTGCAATCGTGCAATCATCAATGTCGACTTAGACGGATGAATATAAAATTACTCTCCGTAGTGGGATAAAATTTCTAACTACATGATTTTTTATTGTTACTATAGGGCCGACCACTGATTTTATTCTATATTACTGTTATTGTGTCTTAAGTACTGTATTCCTTGATTATTTTATAATTTGTTGTAACTCTTAGTTGAGATTAATTTGCTATAAAAAGGAAATTCTGAATTTAAAATGTTTTTCAGAATTTGTTACCACCACACACTTTTCCTTGGAAAAACCCTCCAATCATGTTATCCTAAACCAACCAAATGCAAACAACACTGAGAATTTAAAATGTTTTTTCATCCACATATATGTCGACCAAAGGGAACTTAGCTAAGTTTGTGGGGTTTGCAGGTTGTGGCGAAAGCTAAATCGTCCATTGTTATATTATACACCAAGATATATGGCCGAATATTTGGAGGAAACTGACCACCTAATTTCCTTTCTCCTGTAGCTATATGTGCAAATTCCCACTTTATTTTTTAAATCAAAATTGAAGGAACAAAAGTTATTGAGGTATGAGAAATTGTTTATGAGGCATGTGTGTGTGAGAGAGTACCAACTAAGAAAAAATAATGATTAGCAAAGTCATTGTAAGGTTAGCATAGCACGGTAATAGAAGTGTTATCATAGTATCTTGAAGAAGTGGAGGTGGAGCTAGACGTTCAAATAGAAGTATAAAAGATACTATTTATGGTAAACAAAATGATCTCAAACAAATTGGCAAACTTAAATTTGAGTAAGAATATTTTGAAAATAGAGGGAATAGGAAAAAAATAACACCTTTGGTCGGCACATTAATACAATCCAGAAGATCTATATCTTTTATCTAATCTGAGGCATGCAGATAAACCTATAATGGCACATTAATACAATCTAGAATATCTACGTCTTTTATCTAATCTGAGGTAAGCAGATAAACCAATAATGGCACATTAATACAGTCTAAAATATCTACATCTTTTATCTAATCTGAGGCACGCAGATAAACCTATATAATGGCCAATTGACCAACTTAAACTAAATAACCGTAAAGCACTGAAAATTTAATCTAAACTACGACAGGTGTAGCTAATATAAGCCCAAGATATCTTCAAGGGGCTGTATCATCTCAAGATATTATAGACAGGTCGGTAATTAAATAATCAATGTGCAAGTCCTAGAGCTGATACTTCACAATCTCATGAGATTAAAGAAACCTTTACTGTCCTAAAAGTCATATGTGGGGTACAGGAACTACTTTGTGCAAATTAAAAACTCTATGATTACTAATTTACTCTTCATAGAATATACCACAACAGAGACATATATCTGATAGTGACCACAGAAATTTAAAACCCATAAAAAATCATCCCTTTTCAGTCCCTGCATTTAACTTGCACATGAAGAAGTATGACTTGAAATGGTAATTGCACATTAAGAAATATGACTTTGAAAAGGTGAGCAGATAATGATTTTTGCACTTTTTCCCTTTTAAACCAGAGCCCACCAACATCGTCTCCTTCAAACCTAAATATACTTTTTCTTCTATAAATATACCCTCAATGCCTTCATCAATTCTTACAAATCCCTCTCTTATCTCTTCAAAACACCAAGAAAAAAGAGAATGGCTTTGACATTTCCTTCTTCATCTTCTTTCATCAATTTAAAAGATACCAAAACTTTCAAAACTCCCGATGACTTCTCCGGCATGGTTTGTTTTGAACAAACCAAGCCATCATGCCGTCTTCGAGCAAAGATTTTGACTGAATTGTTGATCTTGCTCAACTATATATCTATCGTCCATTAGCTATTTTATTCATCGATTCTCGATGGCATTACAGATTGGCTTGTAATCAGTTGCATTGGATCCAACTTAATACTTTGACCTGGAACAAGAGTCAATAATTACCACTATGTCATAGTTATTAAATTGCCAGTGCTGATGTTTAGATGTTGTGTTGAATTACAATTTTATTGTCTTTTTTTAACAATTTGATTGCATTCTCTTAACTGAATTCTCACTTTTTTGTTTGCTTTTCTAGGAAGGATAAATAATAAGTTAACAATGAAACGAACGGTTAGTGAAGTGGAAAAAGTGAGTGAACAAAATACCAAAGCTTCAACTTCAAAATCATCCCAACCACCGCCGAAGAAGAGACGGGGTCCAACACGATGCAAAAATATCATAGACGCGAAAACCTTATTACCTTTAAGGTACATATATATATAGATCATCTTATATAGTTTACATAATTAGACTATATTCAATATGAAGGAGAAAAAAGGATTTCTATCTTTATTTTTGTACTAAACATCTACAATTGTTAATTTTTGTTTAGGGTTAATAAGTTTGGACAGCCGATCGGTCCTGGGAGTGGTACATAAACTAATTATCTGGGAACACTTGCCCGAAAGGGTGAATTAGCTCCTTTGTGCTACAAAACTTGGTGGGAGATGCCTAAACAGCTGAAGGAGGATATGTGGAACATTGTAAAGGTAAAACCCTTCCATAACATTAAAATAATTTTTATGGAAAAATTGGACTAACATACAACAATTATCACATTTTCAGGGAAAATATGATGTGGGAATCATGACAAAACAGTGGACAATATCCTCCATCGAAAAAAAATAGAAGGGGTACAAGTGTGAGTTAAAAAATCAATACTACTCAGTTAGGGATACAGATGAAGAAAGATTGGCAAACCTACCACCTAATGTTGAAAAGGAGCATGGGGAATTTTTGGTTAGGCATTGGGGTACGCCTATGGCGAAGGTAATCCTCCATCTATCACAATGTTTTTTGAAGTCAATGAGTTGAATTTATAGTTTATATGTTTTCAGTCATTATTTTAGGTGGAATGTTCTTTGCTCAAAGAACTTTTACTTTTTCTCACTTTTTGTAGAAGGTTAACAAAAAAAATAAAGAACGTCGTGGGAAGCAGACAATGATGCATACTACAGGGACAAAAAGCTTTGCACGTATTTCTGCCGAGGTAGGTTGAAGTTTTTATGGAAAATATAAATTATTTCAATTCTTATGTCGTTGAATGATTATAAATGTTAGTGGTAAATAATATATATTACAATGTATTCTTTTATAGATTGAGGAAGACGAAGGTATTCAGCTTTCTCGTGCAGATTTATTCATCCGCACACATGTAAATAAGGATGGCAAAGCTACTGATGCTGCTGCTTCGGAGATGATTGTAAGTTTTCACGCTTCCATTTTGCAAAAAGGGGGTCATGTGCCTTGAAGTGACCAATTTTTAAACTCTTTACGCTATATTAGGGGGTCATGTGCCTTGAAGTGACCAATTTTTAAATCATCGGCCCATGTGGAGGCAATTTACTTTCTTGTATTTGTTGAAAAGCATGGGAGTATGGGATCATTGTATGTGGAGGCTTCTTGTTGATTGATTTGTGTTGTGGAGAAGAAGTATTTGCTATTTGTTGTTTGTTGTTTGTTGTTTGTGTTAATTTGTTACTCATATATTGTGGCAATAGTCTTTTGAATGTAGACAACTTCAAATATTATATACAAGCTACGTAAAGGGCCACTAAACACTTGTTCATGATGATCATTGTAATTATTGTGATAAACAATCAACTCTACAAGCTTTCAACACTTGGATCTCTTGATTTGCAATTCCCAGTTGATGAGAGGCAACAATTTATAGTAGTTTTCAACCACAAATTTATCTCTATATATCTATATTATAGAGTATATAGATAAATATGTGTATAAAAGGTTTCAATAATTCAATGTAACGATGCTATTACACCCATTTGAGAACTTTATAAATCTCGAACGTAATCATGCTAGATGAATTGGTATTTAGTAATATTGTTATCTCTTCGAAGAACATACCTCTATTGATTTGCATAGATTTTATTTCAATTTAGCTTTTCTAAGGTAAAAACATTAATATTTGCTTGAGCATCCTAATTTTTCTCGTATCAAGTTACAGAAAAAAACAAAGGTGCACAAATTTAGAAATATAAGTCATAACTTTGGGAGGCAAAGTTTTTTATTTTCTTTTTTAATATTACTCTATGTAATTAGAAATCAATTTGACCACTTTGGCCTATAACAAGGTCGTGGAAGAAAATCAGATTAATTGGAAACAACTTCCACTCGACAAATTAGACTGTCATAGAAAAAATTTATAGCTTGAAACTTATATTACTAATTACGTGTTTAAATATCTTATATTTTAAAAATAAATTAACAATGCTTTATAGATTTGTAGATTCACCCCGAAACAAATACAGATCCTTATATGATGTATCATTGTGAAAACTTACAGATATCTTGTTAGTTTTGTTAAAGAGTAATGATACATCCTCCGAATTCGCAGGACACACCAAATAAGAAAAATGTAAAAACAACGTGCATCCTCCATTACATAACATCACCATAATATTATTAGTGATATAGCCCACACCCTAATCACATCCTCCAATTCAAGAATCTTTTGAATTTGGAGAATACATCTTTATTCTCAAATGAAATAGATATCAAAAATTTATTCTTAACTTATTTGACCTTGTGCATAGTAGTAGTCTGCCAATACTCAATAATCCAACACTCAAGAAAAAATGCACATAATTAACCAAAGCAGTTCAAGCTCAATTCTGAAATAATTAATGATTTTCACTGCTACCTTGATCCCGCCCTTTACAAAGCTCCAAAGCTACTACATACCCCTTTTATCATATCCTGATACCATTTTATCTTCTTGTTCCACTACACTAAGTGGAAGTTAGAGAATTTTTTGAGCATCAGAAGAGCAAAGTACCTGAGAAATGAGAGTAGGCTTCCAGGATTAGTCCGAACATCAATGAGATCTAAAACTCGAAAAGCCTAAAAATAAATCAGCAACGGTGGATGGCCTAAATTTTTTTGATTGAGGAATCCAATTATCCTCCCAACAAAAAATACTTTTCCCATTTCCTACCTTAGTGGCAACCCCTTTTCCATCACTGCTCTAGCTGCCAAGATACTTCTCCAAACCCAAGATGGATTATGCCCCTTCCCAGCTTTCAAAAAATCTAAGGAAGGAAAATACTTTCCTTTCAAAACTTCAAACAACAAATCAGTCTTCTGCACTTGAAATCTCCACCCCATATAAGCTAGAAGAGTAAGGTTGAAAGCCTCCACATCCCGGAAACCCAACCCACCGCATGACTTAGGTTTCACCATACAATCCCAACTAATTCAACGAGTTTTAAACTTTTCCTCCCAAACAGCCCACCAAAACTGAAACCATTTTTCTTCAACCTGTCATAAAAAAATTTCGGGAGCTTGAAGTAAGATATTGCATAAGAGGGTAAGCATAGCTTTTAACACCTTTCTACTGCTAGGCGACAAAAAAATTTCCTTTCCATCCCCTTATTTTCTTTGCAATATTATCTTCAATAAAACTGAATACCTCCCTGCCCAAATACTTCTCTTGGCCCCACTCTTTAAGGATAATAAGTAAATCCCTCAACAAACAAGTTTTTTGAAGATAGAAATTTGAGTTGATAGTTTATCACAATATTTCCATCTTCAAAAAGCTTGGCATGTTTATAAAAATTGTTTCAGATTCAATCTCTGCAGATTTCTAATCCAATTCAGATTCTTCTTTTTTTATTTTTTTTTTTATTTTTTATTTTTTTTCTTTCAGTTCTGAAAAGATTTCCATCTTCAAAAAACTTGGCATGTTGGTAAAAATTGTTTCAGATTCAATCTCTGCAGATTTCTAATCCAATTCAGATTCCTTTTTTTTTTTTTTTTTTTCAGTTCTGAAAAGATTTCCATCTTCAAAAAGCTTGGCATGTTGATAAAAATTGTTTCAGATTCAATCTCTGCAGATTTCTAATCCAATTCAGATTCTTTTTTTTTTTTTTTTCAGTTCTGAAAAGATTTCCATCTTCAAAAAACTAATTAAGAAATCGTTATCACTCACCCAATCAAGTAATTATTGATATATGCTGCGTTGCTACAGTGAGGAATTGGTAATCTTTATTTTATTTTATTATTTTTTTTTCGGGTAAGTAAGGATTAAATAGAAAAAAAAAAAAACTGTATAGTATTACAAGGGGCATTCCACAGGCCCACAACACTCGACAACAGATCAGCCCATTGGACAGGGCATAACCCAAAACAAAGCTTACAGAGGAGTTAACCAAAACAAAAGAGAGACATCTCCTAAAACACCACGCCCAAACAGAAATTGGTAATCTTTACACGAGACAGTCCAAATTCATAGATGAAACTTGAAAATGCTATCTCAGGTTCATTAAATGTCCAAGCATGAGAAGATGCACATTATCATATCAGCTGAGACAGTAATTTTCCTCCTCTATTTTTCTTTTTTCTTTTCTTTTATTGAAAACAATTATGATTAGAGAAGTAAAATCTCTCTCTTCTTTTTGAATCTATTTTAGCTTTTAAAAGCATTTTGCTAATAGGAGCCTTCATTTTAATTATATGCAAAATTTTATATTTGATTTATACAGAACATATAATGTCAATCAATTAGCTGATAAAATTATGGAGATCAGATTAACTTTATAACTTATGCCAAATAAACAATAGATTGGAATTTAAGATAATCAACAAAGCTTAACAAAACAATGATTAGTAACTAAAGCCATTACCTTGCCATGGGATATGCGCTGAAGGTTATAGATTGGATGCAAACTGAACTTTATGCATATTATTCCAAAAGTGCGTGTCCCCCATACATGAACCCTTGTTTTCATGCTTGATTGAATAAGCATTCACTAGGACACAATTTTTGCCTAGTGAATCTTAGCAGTACTTACTTTTAGCAGTACTTAATTCCAAAGTATTTAGTAGTAATTATTACCAACCCACTAATAAAGCAAAAGAACATATATTTAAAGAAGTATAAATTGGAACAGTAACAAGTGTGCATGCAATAATATCATGATGGGTATCATGAGTTACATGCTTGTAGTTTGTATTCATTTCCGTTGTGTCAAGTTTTTGGCCAGGTAAATCCTACTTAAAGTATGCAATTATTTTAAATACCAGAAAAAAAGAAAAAAAAAAAGATAGAAAGTATAGATGGACTCCTATGATAAGGAGAACTCCTACTAAGAGGACAACCACTGGGCACTGTTCGTGTTCATGCAACAATCAAAACGTTTACAACGTAAATTATTGTTTGTTTACAGCGTTTACAACCATGGGGCACTGTTCGTGTTCACGCAACAATCAAAATGTTGTAAACTTGTAATTATTGTTGATTTTGCTTGTTTTGGGACAGTTCTCCCATTGTATTCAATATGATCTCATCAAGCATGGCAATTTGTACGTAAATTATAGATAACAAGAAGTTGTATTAAATAATTGAATCCTAGATATAAGCCTTTTATAATATATGAAATAATTTCTTGGTGGTTTGTAGTTGGTTTGCATCAGGATTCACTGCCGGCTCAAATACTTAAGGAGCAATTATCAAATGATGTACAATTTTCACACACATTTTTGAACACATAGTTTTTTATTGGCGTATTATATGTGCTGTTGCATTGAGATTGGTGATTAAATATGATTTACCATTTAAAAAGTGTTGGATTAAGTAATCGGACAATATGGTACTTGTCCAAGGGGATTAATCAACAATTTAGGAACCTTTATTGACTAATTTTTTATTCGGATTACTTTTATTGGGACTACGTGTATCGAAATGGAATTTTTTTAAAAAAAATCCAAATTAGTATGTAGCTAAAACGAAATTGAACGTGTTTAAACGTTTAGGCATCAAAATATATATATATATATATATATATATATATATTTATTTTTATTACTCTTTTATCATTGGACATAGTGCATATTAGGTTGTCGTTCCTTATCAAAACCAACACTTAAATACGATTCTGAACTAGAGAAAATTTTTAGGCGAATTAAAAAACCTAAAAAAAGAATTCTAATTTGTTAAGAGAATCTTTTCAGAACTGAAAACAAGACTAATAGATTGCTTTCGTATCCATCCTTTAATTAGATTCACGCCCCTCACAACTTTTGCCTAGTGAATCTAATTAAATAAAAGACATAGAATTATGTGTCCTATAATAATAATTGCACACCAAGTCTTTTGTCCAATTACCTATATAAGATTCTTCAATTAGATGGGACATTCAAATTTAGACATAAACAACAGTATTCATAAGTTGGCAATTTCTTTAATCATATTGTATACTTTAGCACAATGTCTGGTACCTCAAAAGACTACTAATTTGATTTTTCCTCTTCTATAACGACTCGATTACATTTTTTATTAAGTGTATACTTTAGCATAATGTATTAAAAGAACTACTAATTTGATAAAAATTTGATTTTTTTTTTTTTCTCTATTTACTTCATTTAAATTCTTTTGTTTTTGTCATGAAAGCTTAGGTGTGTGTGTGTATATATATATTATACATGCACATGTATATTTAAGCATTACATGTACATAGCTTGTTGGGATTTCTGTTCTTTTGTGCTTTATTTAGAATCTAGGGTTTTCAGTTCTGGATGTTTCATAGTAGTATGTCATGGTAGTTCAAACTTTTTTTTTTTTTGGTAGGAAAATATAAGAGAACTTCCAAAAAGTTACTCTGACTCGCCTATTGGCAGCTCCAATGATTTGTTCTCCATTGTGAGGGGAGAAGAGAGAACTGGTCGTGTGCGGATGCTTGGCTTCGGGCCTACACTAAGCGATGTTTGGGGGCCCTCTCCTAGTAAAGCTGAACTGATTAATAATGCTAAAAAATCTCAGGAGGAGGCACGCGCTACACATGTAGAGTTGCAGGAGACGATTTCAAAAATGCAAGCCGACTATGACAACAAGTTGGAAAATTTACGAGCCAACTACGACGACAAGTTGGAAAATTTACAACAACAGGTGGCTATGTTAATGTAGATGCAACAACAAAATTATAGTGGACAGGTATATTTATTATTAGTTTTACTATTTACTAAATATATGTTTACTTATGCCAAGATTTCATGTATTTTGTTTTGTTATTTTGAAGGATTCTGATTCTTTAAATGCTCCTCCTAGAGTATCCCCAAATCCATTTTCTAGTCGTGATGCCAATTCAGTTAAGGTTATGAATTTTTAATTTCTCTTATATATATGTTAAATTTTTATTTATTATAATGTGCGCTTAATGAATTTATAAAAAATGTGGGGTAATTCAAATCAAATGGGCAAGAAGACTTGTTGAAGTTGAAGATGGGGTCGTGGCTGTGCTTTTTGAATTTCCTTCGCCTTGGATGGGTTCTTTTTGAAAAACTTGTACTACATTTGTTAAAAATTCTTAATTCTTTTTGTGTGACATTTAGTACCTTTATCTAGACAATTTGGATGGTATTTTCATATTGACAGGTTAACTTGTGGTTGTATTAGTATACATTTTTTACTAGCTTAACTTGTGGTGGTTTTAGTAGTCAATTTCGATGGTATTTTTCATATTGGCAAGGTTAACTTGTGGTTGTAAAAAAAATTTGAATGGTATTTTTATATTGACTTGTGTTAGGATGCATTTAGTAGCCGTGAAGAAATTTTTTTCCAAAAACAATAATGGGAAAAAAAATATTAATTTTTTTTTTTTTTTTTTCAAATAACCCTTTACTAGCACTTTTCCAAAAAGCACTGGTAAAGGCTCTTTACCAGCACTTCTCCAAAAGCGCTGGTAAAGACCTATCGACACTGGATTTACCAGCGTTTTTGAAGAAGCGCTGGTAATTCAATCAGCGCTTGTTAAGGCTTTTAAGCGCTGGTAAAAACCAAAACTGTTGTAGTGGCTCAGTGATGATTGAATCGATTTCAAAATCTTTTCTTTTTCCTTCATTAATCTGTTTTCTTAGATCTTCATTCTCCCTTTTTGCTTGGATAAGCTCCTTTGCTAACTAACTTATTGATTGCCAGTTTGACTTCAATAGTTTCTTCAACCATCTTCTTCAATCTTTCTTCATCATTTTCTTCCTCTTGAACATGTTCATCTAGAACTTCATTGTCTTCATTATCTGAAATATCAGAGCTAGATAACGTAACAATATGAGGACCTTTTTTAAGAAGAGTGATATAAGAAAAATCATTGCAATTATCATGAGGAGAGTCATTATCACTAGAAGCAGAATTATCAGAAATAGAAACTTTCATTACTTTTCCTTTATCCCTATCATTTTGATTTTTCTTAGGACTAGGACAAATATTGGCTAGGTGACCTTTGCCACCACAATTCCAGCAAGTGAATTCAGTTTTTTTTCATTAAATCTAAATTTCGACGCCTTGTCAAAATTTTGAGGATTGACTATATTTCCATTCTTTCTAATCTATTGTTTTTGCAATATCTGATTGAATTGCCTTGACAGAAAAGCAAAATTATCATCAGAGTTGTCATCAACAGAATTCTCAACCTGTATTGATTTTAGAGTAAGATTCTTCTCCTTCTGATTTGTATCAAAATTCTGCTTCTCAAAAATTTTCAAATCTCAATGTTCAGTGATAGTTTCTATTCTTATTTGAAATCTTTTAGGCAAAGACCTTTAGATTTTTCCTCAGATTTTCTTATCATTAACTCTTTTGCCTAAGTATACGTCTCAGTTCAGAAATAATTTCAAGAAGACTAGAATAAAAATCAGAAAATGATTCATCTTGTTTTGGATAACTTCACTTTTGAAGTCCCTTCATGAGTAACTTGCAAAATATTCCAAGCGTCTTTAGCAGTTTTACAATAAGAAATTAGCATATTCAGATGAAAAAACATAATTAATAATTGCGTATTAAGCTTTTCCATTAGCATTATTATGCTCAGTTTCAACAACAATAAAAGCAAAGACATCTTTTAAAACTTTTTCTACTTTACCATCCACAATTTATCTTTTGTTGGTGGTGTATAACCAGATTTAACAAAAGCCCAAGTTTTACCTATTGAATTTTGCAAATAAGCTCTCATCTTTGATTTCCAAAAATTGTAATTGTTTTCTTCAAATAAAGGACCACGTTGATTAGAAACACATTTTTTCAACGCATAATAAATGATAAAAACAAAATTTTGAAATCAAATAAAACTTTTCACAAAGATCAACTTAATGTGTAGAAATTATCTCTGATACCAATTTGTGAGTTGTACGTAGCGGAATATTTAGAAGGTTTTGTATGTTTAGAAAAAGGTCTGTGTCTTTCTAATCTATACTTGTTTTAGTAATTAATTAATTAATCACATGCAAGATAAAATAAAGGAAAGTAAGAGTTAGAGATGACACCATGATTTTTAGCGAGGAAACCCCAATTCATAAAATAGATCAATTATTTGTGTGGGAAAAACCTCATGGACTGTGCAGTCCAAAGTAAACCGATCCACTATGTATGAAACAAAGTACATACATTGAACTTTGACTCTGACTCACACCCTATCGTTCTACCAAACACCAATCACTGAAAATCCTCTGGCTTTGTGACATCCCGTCGAACAACGCTTGACCTCAGGCTTACTCTTGATCTTAAAAGGGTTGTAGGTAGATCAAACAACACTTCTCGAATGCTTTGACCCTTTCAAAGTGTGATCGCTATTACTTCTGTTCTTCAATATCTGAATTCGATATAGAAGTAGATTTGTTTTTCTCTGATCGTTGTAGATGCAAGACTTTGATCATGATCAGGATTTGAACAACACTCTAAACTCACTCTGTGTTTATGTGTATGTTCTAAAAAGACTGACAAAAAAATCAACTTGGATTTTCTGCAAAAATAATTTACTTAAGGCTTTTATGAATAATGAAGTTGTAATGCAAAAGCCGTACAAAACCTATATGAATATTAGGGTTTATAGAATTTTCAGAGACTTAATGCTTCAGAAAATAGAGGAAATTTTGTGTATAGGACTTTTGCTTTAATTCTAAACCAACTAGGAAAGAAAGCAGAATAGGATTACAAAGTTTCCTTAACCTGCTAGAAGACCTTGAACAGGTTCAAGAAAGGCTGAACCGGTTCAAGAATGACAGTGAAAAATTCTAAGCCAATGATGAAGGCTTGAACCGGTTCCAAGAAGCTTGAACCGGTTCAAGTTTGACAGACTTGAATCCTAAGGCTTTAAAGGTCTGAAAACACTGTTTTTGGTAAGTTCTAAAAATATACCAAGTATGGAACGTGTCCTAACCTTTTTAGACTTCTTCCTAAAGTGTTGTTCTTTCCTTTCTCGACGATCTCAATATAGTATATTTGAACAACCTTCCAATTCCGTAGCCAATCTCGATCTTGATATGGTAACTTGAAATTACAACTCGATCGAACTTGTTTTGACACCACCAAAATTTACCAATTATAGAATTTATATCTCACACTATAGTCCAACCCCATCAACACAACTAAAAAAATTACCCATCATGCACCCATGCATCAACAGAACCAAAGCTTCTTAATTTCATCACCAACTAAATTGTCCTTGATCGATCTCATAAGCTAAGCGTTTCTTTAAACAAATGACCACCTCAGCTAGGATGACAGTGGCATGCCGCATGCTTGGAACCTATCGCTATCTTGGGAAAACTACATATAGGTAGAGTTAGGAGTCTTAAATAACAAAATGATCTATTTTAAAAGTCTATTTTTCAATTTGATTGATTTAAACAAACTAACTACAAATGCATCAAGAATTATTAAAAAAGTACCAAATACCCTTTTTGTAATCTGGTTTGTTTTTTTTGTTGTTGAGATGTATGTCTCTAATTGCTATTTGTTTCTTTCTTTAATAAAATTGCTTAATTATCAATATACATATATATCTAAGAAAGTTTCCCGAATTATCCTTTCAAAGTGATTTCATATATAATTTGTAGTGAGACCAAATTTACAAAATTATGGAATAAAATAAAAAAGCAAAATAAAAGAAACGTACCAATATTATGGTGTAAATGTCTAATTAATTAAAGACACAAAACATTCTTTAAAATATAAAAATTGTAATAAGATTTTATGGTGTACCAATATTGTATATGGTGCAAGGCATATGACTTATTGGTGCATGGAATACTTCTTTCAATTATTTTTTTTACTTTATAGTAAAGATGACCATTGTCTTGAGAATAAAATATTAGTACTTGCTACATTATTTTGTTGGGATCGGGTAATATCCTTTGTGTTCTTAGCTAATATAGGTTTTTATTGGTACGTTTTATTTTATTTTGCTGTTTTATTTTATTCTATAATCTTGTAAATTTGACCTCACTACAAACGGGAATTTTTTTTTGATATATATATATTGATAATTATTCAATTTTATTAAAAAAGGAAACAAGCAGCATCTAAAGAGGCATATTTCTAGACAACCAAAAAAGCAAGTCATATTTATTGACAAAGAGGGTATTTGGGACTTTAACAATAATTCTTGATGTATATGTAATTATTTTGTTTAAATTTATCAAATAATTTTTTTTTTTTTAAAACAGATCATTTTGTTATTTAGAACTCCTAACTTTACCTATGTATAATTTTCCCTTTTAATTTAAAAGTGCACATTAGATTCAATTTAGATGTTGAATTAGGGTCCGATTTGTCCTTAACTCCCAACTAATCTGAACTTTTTAAGAACAATGCACTAATGGTTTAGTTTTCTAGGATTATGCTTCTCTTAAATTAATTAATGTAGCCTGATAATAAATGCCTAAATGAGACTAGCCATAGTACCCTGTTAGGCATGTTTGTCGAAATTGTAATTAAGGTATGGTTATTACTAAACACTAATACAGACTATACAGTATTATTTTATTTATAATCCGTGTTTTGAACCAAAAAAATAAAGAAAAAAAAAAATTCCTTGTAAATAACCAAGACAAGAAGGGGTCCTATCCTTTAGCCCCTTAACAAAAGCATGAAATGTACCCAAAAGCCGTCGTTCAAGAAATTCAAAACTAGGAGCTCTGACACAGGCATTAGTTTTTTTGAACCAATTTTTATTTAGAAAAATTAGGAAACTCATAAACCCTTTGTTGAGTTTAAATAAATAATCCACACGTAGAAATCAAGAATATTACAATTAATTAAATAGGGAATTTAGGCTCGTACCTGATTGATGATTAATGCACATATACCTTTGAGAATTCCTTATGACCCTTTGAGAGATTTGAAAAAAAATAGAGTTCCATGCTACATTCAAGGATATATGAGTAATCTTCGCGGGTCTCTGATAATAGTACCTTGCAGAATGCTCAAATTGCTTCGCTTTACCCCCTTCTGAAAGTTGTCGATACGATAGGACTGAATAACGGTTTTAAAACCCCTATATATAACAACAACAGAGGGGGACGGCTTCTCTACAAATAAGCATATCTAAGTCTCCCTTCCTATCATGGAAACTTAGATATCAATGGTTAGAATTAAATTACACCAAATAAGTTGGAAA